CTCCCAAGTGCTAGGATTAGATGGTGTGCACCACCACCATCTGGCTAAATCCAACAAATTAATTCCAGAACACATGAAAAGACCAAACCAAAGAATAGGGACAGAAAAAGAAGAAGTCCAACTCAAAGGCACAGAAAATATATTCAACAAAATCAAAAAAAGAAAACTTTCCCAACCTAAAGAAGGACATGCCTATAAAAGTACAAGTAGCTTACAGAATACCAAATAGACTAGAACAACAACTATATATATCAGTAGCCTTCCTATATATAGACGATAAATGGGCTAAGAAAGAAATCAGAGAAACATCACCCTTTACAAAAGCCACAAACAACATAAAATATCTTGGGGTAACTCTAACCAAACAAGTGAAAGACCTATATGAACAAGAACTTTCAGTCTCTAAAGAAAGAAATTGAAGAAGACATCAGGAAATGGAAAGATCCCCCATGATCTTGGAAAGGTAGGATCAACATAATATAAATGGTAATCTTACAAAAAGCAATCTACAGATTCAATACAATCCTCCAACAAAATCCCAGCACAATTCTTCACAGACTTTGAAAGAACATTATTCAATTTCATATGGGGGAAAAAACAGAATAGCCAAAACAATTGTGTACAATAAAGGAACTTCCAGAGGTAACACCATCCCCGACCTCATGCTCTAGTATAGAGCTATAGTAACAAAAACAGCTTGGTGTTGGCATAAAAACAGACATGTGGATCAATGGAATCAAATTGAAGACATATGAACAACTGATTTTTGACAAAGAAGCCAAAAAGGTACAATGGAAAAAGGAAAACATCTTTAACAAATGGTGCTGGCATAACTGGATGTCAACATGTAGAAGATTAGAAATAGATCCTTCTATCACCATGCACAAAACTCAAGTCCAAGTGGATCTAGGACCTCAGCATAAAGCCAGTTACATTGAACCTGATAGAAGAGAAAGTGGGAAGTGGCCTGGAACACATTGGCACAGGAGACCCCTCCCTAAATAGAATACCAGTAGCACAGATACTGACAGCAACAATCAATAAATGGGACCTCCTGAAACTGAAAAGCTCCTATAAGGCAAAGGATATGGTCAACAAGACAAAACGACAGCCTACAGAATGGGAAAAGATCTTCACCAACCCCACATCTGACAAAGGACTTATCTCCAAAATATATAAAGAACTCAAGAAACTAGACAACAAAATACCAAATAATCCATTTTTAAAAAGGGGGTGGAGAGCTAAACAGAATTCTCAATAGAAGAAACTCAAATTGTGGAAAGACATTTAAGGAATCAGTCAACATCCTTAGTCATCAGGGAAATGCAAATCAAAACCACTCTAAGATTCAATCTTACACCTGTCAAATGGCTAAGATCAAAAATACTGAGGACAGCTTATGTTGGAGAGGATGGGGAGTCAGGGGAACACTCCTCCACTGCTGGTGCAAACTTGTACAGCCATTCTAGAAATCACTATGTCAGTTTCTCAGAAAATTGGGGATCAATCTACCTCAAGACCTAGCAATATCACTCTTGGGCATATACCCAAAGGATACCCAATCATACCACAAGGACACTTGCTCAACAATATTCATAGCGGCATTATTCATTATAGCCAGAACCTGAAAACAACCTAGATCCCCCTCAACTGAAGAATGGATGAAGAAAATGTGGTACCTTTACACACTGGAGTATTATTCAGTTGTAAAAAAAAAAAAAAAAAAAAAAAAAAGAAAAAAAAAGAAATAAATGACATCATGAATTTTGTAGGCGAATGGATGAAACTAGAAAAATAAACATTCTGAGTGAGGTTTGACTCAGAAAGGCAAACACAGTATGTGCTCACTCATAAGTGGATATTAGATATAAAGCAAAGGATAACCAGGCTACAATCCACAACTCCAGAGAAGCTACAGCCTTTTTCCAGTAATTGATGGAAAAGGATGCAGAGATCAACAACCAAACTCCAGGAATCCAGTCAAAGAGAAGGAGGAGGGAATACATGAGCAAGGGAGCAAGATTATGAAGGAGAAAGCTACAGAGACATCTGAATCAGGCTCATGGAAATGCATGAAGTCTGGATAGACTGCTATGGAGACTCCATGAATTAAACTAGGCCCTCCATATGCAGGAGACAATTGTGAAGCTTAGGTATCTGTTGGGCTCCTGGCAATAGAACCAGAATCTATCCCTGGTGCATGAGCTAGCTTGTTAGAACCTATTCCCTATGAGGGAATGCCTTGCTCAGAATTAACACAGAGGAGAGGGGCTTGGTCCTGCCCCAACTTAATGTGCCAATTGTGTCAACTCCCCATGGGAGCCTTACCTGTTGGGAGGAGAGGTGGGCTAGGGGAGAAGGTGATGGGAGGGAGGAGGAGGGGAGGGAGGGAGAACTTTGGCTGGAATGTAAAAAATAAATAACAAAATCTGTCTCAAAAAAAAAAAAAGAAAAAGAAAAAGAAAGGAAGGGAGGAAGAAAAGTAGAAGCAGAAAGAACAGGATCTCAAAGTTAGCTTCAGCTACATGAGACTTTTTCATGAAACCCAAACAGGACTAATCAGACAGCTAAGTGAGTAGGGTGCTTGGTGCTTGTTTCCATGTCTAACCACTTGAATTTGATTCCCAGGACCCAAATGATAAACAAGAAAACTATCTCCCCAAAACTGTCCCCTAATATCCACATGCATATACACACCAAATAAATAAAAATGGCCAGGCAGTGGTGACGCACACCTTTAATCCCAGCACTAGGAAGGCAGAAGCAGGCAGATTTCTGTGAGTTTGAGACCAGCCCGGTCTACAGAGCAAGTTCCAGAACAGCTAGGGCTACACAGAGAAAGATCTCAAAAAACATGCAAAATAAAAACTGTTTAATAAAATTAAACTACTTTAAATAATTATCATTGCCCTATCAATACCTATAAAAATTTAGATAAATTAAATAAGCATAAATGAAAAATAACCAACAAAGTTTAAAATATAGTTAAAATTTTTAAAAATTAGCTGATTGTACTGGTCAATGCCTATAGTCCTATCACTGATAGGCAGAGACAGGAGATCTATGCTGTAGTATTAGTGATTTTCAGGATGAATTATTAGACATAATAGTTAATCTCCATACCTATTTATTAACTATAGTAAGATAATTTCCATTCCATGTAGTGCTATTTTAATTACATCCTCTTCTTTTTGAGAAAAGATCTTTTATTTTTTATTTTTCAATTTTATGTGTATTAGTGTACTGCTTGAATTATATCAGTGATAGGGGGGAAATGGACCCAACAGTGTGTGTGCTGTAATCCTGGCACTTGGAAGGATAAGATAGCAGGCCCACAATGTCAAACCCTAGATTAAGTAAGACCTTGTCTCATAAAGTTTAAAAAAAAAAACAAAACAAAACAACAACAAAAAAAAACTTGTTGGGCTCAGTGGTGCACACTTTGATCCCAGCACTGGAGAGGTATAGGCAAGCAGTTATCTTTGTTCTGGGTCAGCCAGGGGCACACAATGAGATCATGCCCACTCAGATGTGTGGCTATCACAGTTTTAGTTTTTTGGGTTGGTAGTTTTGGTTTTTTGTTTTTGCTTGTTTGTTTGTTTGTTTGTTTGTTTGTTTTTCAAGATAGGGTCTCAAAAAATAGCCCTGGCTGTCCTAGAACTCACTATGTAGACCAGGCTGTCCTTGAATTCAGAGATCTACTTGCCTCTGCCTCCTGAAAACTAGGATTAAAAGAGTGCATCACCCCACCTGATAAAGTTTTAGTTTAAATTCTAACGTTAGATTCATATGGGACAGCACATGTTTTAATCTTAGCATCTTAGAGGTAGGGGCAGTAAGAACAAGAGTTCAAGGACAGTGTTTGAGTTAAATAGTGAGTTTTACGACACTACACTCTTAAGACCTATACTATATTGTTTTCAAAAGACACAATCTTTTTGCTGTTAATGTGTAAAACAGGTCTATATTACTTTCAGCACAAGATTTTTGTTGTCTTGGGGTATTTTGGTTCTGTTTGTCTGTTTTGTTGTTATTTTGAGAGAGTATTAAGATAGATTTCACTATGTAGCCCGGGTTGGTTTGGAACTCTGTAGACTTGATTTCATACAAATCTGCCTGCCTCTGCCTCCTGAATGCTGGGATTAAAGTTGTACACCACCAGGTTTGGCTTCAACATTGTTTTTAAAGATTTATTTGTTTATTATGTATACAGTAGTCTGACTGCATAAATGCCTGCACACCAAAAGAGGGCATTAGATCTCATTAGAGATGGCTGTGAGCCACCATATGGTTGCTAGGAATTAACTCAGGACCTCTGTAAGAGCAGACAGTGCTCTTGACCTCTGAGCTCTTGACCTCTGAGCCATCTCTATAGCTTCTGGCTTTAACATTTTTAAAACAACAAATAAACTGGGCATGGAGGCGCATAGCTCTAATCCAGGTATTTGGGAGATGGAGGCAATAAAATCAGAAGTTCAAGGTCATCCTCAACTATGTAACAAATGTGAGGCCAGCCTTGGCTAAATGAGACTTTGACTCAAAAACAAACAAAATCCATTAAATATATTATAGTTAGATAAGAAAACAGCCAGAGCCAGGCAGTACATACCTGTAATCCCAGCAGCTGAGAGATAGAAGCAGGAGGACCAAGAGTTCAAAGCCAGACTCAGCTACTTTGCAAGTTCAAGGCTAGACCTAAAAAGACCATGCCTCAAAAATAAATAAATAGAGCAGAAACAGTATATTTTCAACCTCAATGTTGTTAAAACGACATATTGAATAACAAATTTACTGACTATGAAGCCAATGTAAAATTAAAATTGTTTTCAGAATCAAAACTACTAAGGACTCTTACACAAAATCCCTCCTCATGCACACTACTGTGTATTTAAAAAAAAAAAAAAAAAAACAAGCAGAAAAGATGGGAAAATAACAGTCATTACATAACACAAAGGCTCTTAAAGACTACAGCTGATGCCGGGTTCCCGTAGAAGAGTTTTGCATTGTGGGAGTTCTTTCCTTTCTCGCTCCCCGGCCATCTTGGCGGCTGCTCTTGGTTGGGGGCTGTCCCGCACCTAAGGCAGGAAGATGGTGGCCACAAAGACGACGAAAAAGTCCCTCGAGTCCATCAACTCTAGGCTTCAGCTTGTTATGAAAAGTGGGAAGTACGTACTGGGATACAAACAGACTCTCAAAATGATCAGACAGGGCAAAGCGAAGTTGGTTATCCTCGCCAACAACTGCCCGGCTTTGAGGAAATTTGAAATAGAATACTATGCCATGTTGGCTAAAACCGGTGTCCATCACTACAGTGGCAATAACATTGAATTGGGCACAGCATGTGGAAAATACTACAGAGTATGCACACTGGCTATCATTGACCCAGGTGACTCTGATATTATTAGACGCATGCCAGAACAGACTGGTGAGAAGTAGTAAACCAGAAAAGCCTTCCTTTAATAAAACCACCAGAGCTCTTTAAAAAAAAAAAAAAAAAAAAAAAAAAAAAGACTACAGCTGATATGAAAACTTTAGCTGAAGTCAGCTAAAGAAAGAAGTTCCAGGCAGAGCCTATTTCCCCAGGCTCCTCATAAATAAAGGCAAAAATATATGCCTATACCTAAAAATAAAACAATCTAACTTCAACACCTTCATTTCTCTGACCTTATCTTAGGACCAAACCTACTACAGGCACTCTTAAAGATTATAAGAATTAATCCTATTCACATAAACTCACAAGCAGTGACCTGGTTCTCTAGGCACATGGAATAGCTAGCTGACCTGCTAGTCAAGCCTGAACTCTCATGAGACAATTTTGAAAGCCATACGATATTCCTTCTCTTCTTTGTTACCCTCCTGCTTCAGAACTTAAGATTAAAGTCTACCACTTAAGTGCAGTAACCACCATTTCTTTTTTATTTGAAAGGAAACATCTTTTAAAATAGAAATTGCATGCATCACTGCCTTGTTTTCAATCTCTGGTCAACATCAAACAGTTATAAGTATCAATTTGTATATTATGTTTTATTGGCTTTCACATCTGTCAAATATTTAATATAAAGATGCATTACAACATCTGTCAACCAGCTGACCACAGAGACTGACAAAACCGTGAAGACAGGATAGTATGATGTCCTTTTTCCCACCTCTCCTTTATTAACTATTAAAACTGAATACTTAGGGCCGACAGAGATCATACCACTCTTACAGAATAAAAGGATCTTCAGGGTCTGAGTTCAGCCCCGTGTGTGTGTGTGTGTGTGTGTGTGTGTGTGTGTATGTGTGTGTGTGTACAGAGATTATACCACTCTTACAGAGTAAGAGGATCTTACAGGGTCTGAGTTCAGCCCGCCCCGTGTGTGTGTGTGTGTGTGTGTGTGTGTGTGTGTGTGTGTGTGTGTGTGTGTACAGAGATTATACCACTCTTACAGAGTAAGAAGATCTTACAGGGTTTGAGTTCAGTCCCCAGAACCCATGGTCAGGAGGCTCCAGCTTCCAGGACACTCAGCGACATTTTCTTGACCTACACAGGTGCTTGAACATCGGCAAACAAATACAAATACACATAACTAAAATACATAAACAAATCTGAACCAAAAAACCAGACAACCAGTTGCAGAGAGGGAGGAGTGATAAGAAAACTGGTCAAGACCAGGCTATAGAAACCCACAGAGACAGCTGGCCTGAACAGGGGGGAGCTCATGGACCCCCCCCCCAGACTGATAATTGGCAAACCCAGCCCTGAGAAGGCAGAGACAGGCAGATCACTGAGTTCACTAGCCAGAACACCTAGCCAAATCGACCAGCCCCCAAGTTCCAGTGAAGCTAGGTAAATGTCAACAATAAGAAAATATGTGTTGTCACTAAAAATCAAGGTAGATCTCTCTCAGGAAACAACACTAGAATCAAGAGTTGTGGCACACGCCTTTAATCCCAGCACTTTGGAGGCTGAAACGGGTGGATCTCTGTAAATTAAACGCCAGTCTGGTCTGCATGCTGAGTTCCAGGGCTGCCAGGGCTATGTAGTAGAGATATCCTATGGAGAGGGAAGGAAGGAGGGAGGGAGGGCGGGAGGGAGGGGGGGAGGGAGGGAGGGAGGGAGGGAGGGAGGCAGGCAGGGAGGCAGGCAGGCAGGGAGGCAGGCAGGCAACAACACTAGAAATTGGTCTCCGACACACACACACACACACACACACACACACACACACACACACACACACACACACCACAGAGAGACACAGAGAGAGGCATATACATGAAAGAAAAAAACCTGAATACTCAAGATAAAAGAAAATCAAATGGTGAAAAAAATTATTCTTCTCCTCTTACAGAATAGCAAGTACCTTCTTCACGTTTATTCATAGTCTCTATAACCTTTTCTTAATGTGTACGTGTTTCGTCTGTGTATATGTCTCAGTACCTCTGCCTACTTGGTGCCTGCTTGGCTGTCAGATTCCCTGGAACTGGAATTACAGAAGGTGGTTGTTTTTTACAATTCTCTTGTTTATTTTGTTTTCTCTTGTTTTTTTAACAGAGGCCTGCTATATAGACCAGGCTGGCTTTGAACTTAGAGGCCCCACTCAGCCTCTTGGTGCTGTGATTACAAGGATTTACTATTCCATCTGGGCTACAACTCTCATTTTTAATGGTTCTTTAAAAAATAACACCATTTTAAATACTGCAGTATATATTTAGGTTGTAGGATTAAACCCACAAGATTCCTATATGCTAAACATATGCTCTACCACTGACCCCAAGCCTCCCAGTTCAGTTAGGACTTGTTTTTAAAAGTCATCGTAAGGGCTGAAGAGATGGTTCAGGGGTTAAGAACACTTGTTCTTGCAGAGAATCCAAGTTCCGTTCCCAGCATCTCCAGTTCTACTAGATCTAATGCTCTCCCTGACCTCTAAGGGCACCAGGCGTGCATCTGGTGCACATACATATGCATGCAGGCAAAACACTGACACACATAAAATTAAATAAATAAATCTAAAAAATTGGGCTGGGAGTGGTTCAAGACAGGGCTTCTCCGTGTAGCCCTGGCTGTCCTAAAACTTACTCCGTAGGCCAGACTGGCCTCAAAACTCAAGAGATTAACCTGCCTCTGCCTCCCAAGTGCTGGAATTAAAGGCAAGTGCCACCACCACCTGGCTTTTTTTTTAAAGTTATCTTAAATCAGGTATAGTGGTACACATCTGTAATCCCAATGCTTGCTTGAGAGGCTAGAGCAGAAGACTCAGAAGTTTGAGAGGTCAGCCTGAGCTACAGGGTAAGACCCTGTGTCTAAATGCAAAGAATTTTGCCAGGCATAGTGGTGCGCACCTTTAATCCAGCACTCAGGAGGTAGAGGCAGGAGGATCTCTGTAAGTTAGAGGCCAGCCTGATCTACAGAGTGAATTCCAGGACAGCCAGAGCTATGTAGTGAGATCTTGTCTGGGAAAAAAAAAAAAAAAACTAAATAATTAAAAATTATAATCAATTAGATTAACAGATGACCATTTAAAATATATTATTACATTTATTTGTTTGTTTATTTAGTGTGTGTGGATGCACATATGCCACAGCAGATGTGTGAAGGTCAAAGGACAACCTACAGTTCATTCCCTCTTTCCACCATGTGGCTCTCAGGGTTCTAACTCAGGCTTGGTAGCCTGTACCTTTGCCCACCATCTTACAGCCCTTATAGGTTATTTTTAATTTCTGATTATGTTCTAGTAGGAAGTACTGGTCAAATTTATTTCTAGAAGTATTCCTTCTGTATGTAATGCTACTGAGTATGTTATGGTTTTGCACATTTCTATACATTTAACCATTTCCATTTTGTTTCATTTTTATTTTGATGCCTTTCTTCTCTCATTGGTTCTTGTATTTACTCCTAGTGCAGGAATGGGCTGCAAAAAGCCCATTCCCTAAGGAGGGATGCTCTCTCAGCCTAGACACAATGGGGTCCTGCCCCAAATGATGTGACAGACTTTGATGATCCCCCATGGAAGGCCCCACCCTCTCTGAGGAGTGGATGGGAGGTGGGATGAAATGGTGGAAGGGGGGGAAATAGGAGGATGGGGGAGAGAGGGAACTGGGATTGGTATGTAAAATAAGTTTTTAATTTTAATAAAAATTATGTATGAAATTGCTTGTTAAAAATATAATGGGGAAGGGGACATGTATCCACTGATAGAGCACAAAGCCCTGGGTTTGGTCCTCAGCATGGAATAAACCAGGCATGCAGTCCATTATCTATAATCAAAGCACTTGGGAAGTGGAGGTAGTAAACTTAAGCTATATAGTGAGTTTAAGAACAAACTGGGCTACAGGAGACCCTATCAAAAAAAAGAAGAAAGAAAATAAATTGGTAATAGGGCTAAGTGTGGTGGCCTGTACCTGTAATCCCAACACTTAGGAGACTGAGGCAAAAACACCTCAGGTTCAATAACAACCTGGGCTACATAGTGAGTTCAAGGGTAACTTGGGCTACAGAAGACCTTACCTGAGAGAGAGAGAGAGAGAGAGAGAGAGAGAGAGAGAGAGAGAGAGAGAGCATTGATGATTTAGCCAAGTGTGGTAAAACATGCCTGTAACCTAGTACTTGGAAGGCCAAGACAAGACCTCAAGTTCAACACCCATCTGGACTATGTAATGAAACCCTATCTCAAAAAGAAAAGAAAAAAAAAAAAAAAACTATTTTCAGGATAATGGCCATAGAAAAATACTGGAAAGGAAACAAAACCTTATGAACATTATCTAGATTAGATTGTAAGAGAGGGGAGAAAACAGAAGAATTCTTTCACCAACTACCAACTGGAAGGATTTAAGAGAAGCTGAGGCAGGACTGGAGGAGCATCTCATGGTGATACAACTCTTTCTGGGAACAAAACCTGGAAACAACTGTCCTAAAAGGCCTGCGGCATGTGTGTTGGTGACACAAGTGACAAGTCACATTCAGAGGTAGCTACAATGACTGACCTATTCTCTAGTAAAGGCAGGACTATTCTAGCACAGGGCAGCAGCAGCCACGCCAAGGCTACACCGTGAAACCCTATCTCAGGAAAAAAGAAAGAAAAGTAAACAACCCTAAGTGGAAAATTTAACCTTCAGAGATAAAATCTGAGACCAACAAAGAAATACTCTTTCATCCTATGGAGGGTGAAGGGAATACCACATGTAAATGAATCTACCTCATTTTTCTTTTCTTGTTTTTTATTTGCTTTGAGTGAGGGTTTTACCATGTATGCATCCTTAGCTGGATTGGAGCTTGATATGTAGACCAGGCTGGCCTTGAACTCACAGATATTCATCTGCCTCTGCCTCCCCAGTGCTGGGACTAAGGCGTGTGCTACCACATCTGGCTTTGCCACATTTTTCATTAAGAAAAAAAAGCATTGTTTTTAAGAATATAAAATGATATAAGAAGTGCATGGCACTCAACATCAAAAAAGCACTTGGAATACTAACAGGGCCTCACTGTGTAGCCCTGACTGGCCCGTTACTATCTACCTGTATAGACCAGGC